CCAAATGGGTTTGGGGGGGTCAGAAGCAAAGGCCCCTTTGGAGACTAGTTATGGGATCGTCACCATTTGGTCAACCCCCACTCCAACACCTCCCCTGCCATACCCAACCCAGCCAAAGAAATGGGCAGGGTGGCTTTGGACACGTCATATGCTTGCAAACTGCTTATCGCCGCATGGCTGTGTCAAAACTAGGGCCTGACATCAAATGGAGGGTGTCCGTGAGCAAAAGAGAGAGAGGCAGAGAGAGAGAGAGATAGTGTTTTTGTTATGGAAGAGAGAGGCCAAGAGAGAGCTGGAACGGCACATGTTGCTGCACGGCAGCAAGCTTCAGCCCAAGAAGCCCCGGTCTTGATCTCACAGGGGCTGCTTCGCCTGCGGAAAAGCTCAGGGCATGAGCATATGATCTCACACAGCTTTCTGCGACTCAAGCGTAAACATGAGGAGGGGCGCCTTGCTTTGACCAAAGGACCCAGCTTGGGATCCCATGGGTTGCTAAGATTATGGACTGTACTGCGTGACGTCGCCAAAAGCACTTTGAATTGAATATGCAAAGAATGCAGCTCAGTGGCGCATTGGTCAAGTGGGTGAGGCAGAATGAGAGAAGAGTCAACATGTTGTACTGCTGTGTCACGTAAAAGTGTCATGGCCCAAACTCCAAAAGGAAGCGCGCCGGCGGTGTCGGACCTTTTGGGTGAGTTGACGGCCTGAGCGCGCCCAAGTAAATCAGTTTTGACCAACGCGAAAGCAATCTTCTTCAAGCCACAAACACTTAGCCACTGACCTCTTGGATTGAGAAGAAGTGTCAAACAACCTCTCAACTCATGCGGAAGTGCGGAGTAGACACAGATTGGCCAAGATGTCAACAGTTGCCAAGAAATCAAACAAGCCGTCAGTTGACCCTTCTTTTCTCAGATTCTGCAAAACATGAAACTCGAATAACAGCGGGCTTGTCTGTTAGTTTGCTTGGTCCAGGTCGATCTGACGGATGGACCTCAAAGCTGAGATAAAAGGATTCTCTACATTCCTTCAAATGGGCCCTACCGGTGGTTGTCACAACACCTGACAAGTAATGTAGTCAACCAGGAAACAAGGATATTTGCACTCCATTCAATGACCTAGGCCTAGGGTTGCCTTCCATGCATACGTACTTATAGCGACGAAAACAAAGGCGTCGTTGACTGGCCTTTCGTTTACAGATCTTACAACCCTTGCGCATGCTGTTTATTCAATAATAATTTGTCTTATGACGTAATGACAACTTGGGGGGGCAAATGCATTTCGGAGGAAAGGAAGGTCTGTCGCCCCCCCTCTTGACCTCGGCCTTTAAGGCCCACCTCAATTTTCAAAGGAGATCTTCTGGCAGGTTCAAGGCAAATGAGGCTACCCAACAAAGAAGGGTTGCACCTTGAGCAGGCTACCGTAAACCAAGCTTCGAACAAAGGGGAAAGGATGCCAGTGAACAACTGGAGGATGTTTCGCCTTCATTCGGATCATCCTGCCTGAGATAAGCTGCAGAACCTTGCCATCACACAGCCAGGAATGCCTGGGAAAGGGCAGGTTCCGAAGAGCCTTGGGCAACAACATGTTGTTGAAGAGATTCAATGCTTTTGGAGGGCAACTGATTGACCTTCCCTAGGCTATGATGCATTTCAGATGCGCTTGCAAGCCTTTGTGCCACCAGCGGCAAATCCTGATTGCGCATAGAACAAACGACCCAAACATGTGTGGTAGTGGTGGTGGTCATGGTGCTTGTGGTTTTTGGTAGGGGTAGTCGTAGTAGTAGCGGTCGTAGTTGCAGAAGTGGAAGTAGTAGGAGTAGTAGTAGTAGTAGTCGTAGTAGCAGGAGTAGTAGTAGTAGTGGTAGTAGTAGTAGTAGTAGTGGTAGCAGTGGTAGCAGTGGTAGCAGTAGCAGTAGCCGGAGCAGTAGTAGTAGCCGAACCGCTTTGCAACAAGAGGCTTGTAATTCATGTTTGCCGCCCCTGTCAGGGAGCCCAAGAACAAATCCAGTATCTTCTGCATATGTATGGATGTCCGTCCGGTCTGTCTGTCTGTCTGCCGTGTTCCGGCGCCTGTAATATGTATGTGTGTCACTATGCGTGTGTATGTGAGTGAACGCGTGTGTCCGCCGACCCCGTCTTGCCAAGAGGGGATTTTGTTCAAACCAGTCATCAGTGGAAGTAAGACTGGCGCAAACACCTTGTGTATAACAGGCCATGTTGATGCTGTTGATGTTGCTGCTGAATCCTGTCTCTTTCTCTTGTATATGATGCAGAAGTCACGTTGGGCATCGCCCGCGTGGGGATGCGAAAAAATCGACATGTTTTGTGTGTGTTAGGTCCCAGATACTAATAGTGCTTGGGCGTTCTCACTCGCGCCTAACATCCCCAGCGTCACCTGTGTTTTAGTAAAAGAGATGCTTTCCCGCTCGCTAGCGCAACATTCTCTAGATGAAGCGGTCGACACACCCAGCATCACCAGTACATAATATGTAGACAAGGCCGGCACCCCCAGCATCACCAGCGCATACTTTGCAGATAACGTGGTCGACACCCCCAGCATCACTAGTGTTTTAATACAATCAGCATCGCATAGTGATGTTGACACTAAAAGGGGCGTGAAAAACTTAGGTCGTTTTTCACGCCCTTTGGCAGCCCGGCTCCAACAAATGTGAACAGTATGTGTGTACATGTATGCGTGTTGCGCTATCTAAACAGTGTTCGGGTTGGGGTCGGCACAGGGCGGCCGCCCTTAGGTGTGTGTGTGTGTGTGTGTGTGTGTGTGTGTGTGTGTGTGTGTGTGTGTGTGTGTGTGTCTTTGTCTGCGCGTGCGTGCGTGCGTGCGTGCGTGCGTGCGTGCGTGCGTGCGTGCGTGCGTGCGTGCGTGCGTGCGTGCGTGCGTGCGTGCGTGCGTGCGTGCGTGCGTGCGGGCG